TAATTTGGGAATGACCTGGCATTGGAGTAATTTGACACGCTCCCCGTTCGGCTAGTAAGGGCAACCAGTGGGAAGCAATGCTTTAGGAAGCCAAACGAAAACCCGTTTCAGGATGCCCAGCAACTCCGAGTACTTCCATTTGCTGAAAACCTTTTTGGTTTTTAAAGGGAATCGATTTCACTACTGGACATATTCGTTCCCAGGGGGCGAAAAAGCTCATGGAAGCTGAGGTCAGCCTCGAAGTCCGAGCTGTGAGAGACGTGCCGAGCGCCGGCGCGGGCCTAGAGAACGGTTGAAAGAACCGCCTGGCGGTTCCCAGCCATGGCATTTACTTTCGTGCATTTTGCCAAGGGATGTCCGGACTTTAACTTTTTTTGATCCAACTCATGGGTTTTCCGTATCTTTCCAGACTGAAAGTTAGTCACTTTTAGCAGGGCTTCGCAGATTTCGCCACCGAGTTTAGACGTGATTGCTTCTCACCTTCCGAGGTTCCTGGGCTGGAACACTTGGGGGTTCGACCGGGGAAGTAGCAACTGAGAAGTTTATCTCTTTTGACCAACCCACTCAGGAAGGAAGTGAGGGTTGGATCTTTAGACTGTAACTTGTTTTGGTTGAACTCATGTTGTGTTTTCCGTATTAAACCCACAAATGAACAGCTTCTTTCAGAGGGTTCAACAGCAACCAAGTAGACTTGGTTGAATGTATTTAGTATTTTACTCCCAAAGTTCCTGGACTTTAGTCACTTTTGGTGAAGATCATTTTTGCGCAAAGCAACGCTTTCAACATGTTCAGACATTTTGTGGCCAATCCACTCAGGACGTGAATATGTATCTATATAAATAAATATATATATATATATATATATATATTGTTAGGCACACCGAAAGGTATACTTACACGGGATTTATGCGACCATCCAGTCATTCTCAAAGGCTGCATGTATATGTGTAGACCCATTGTATGACTATGGGGTTGTGGCTCAATTACGGTAAATCAGCCCCCAAAGGGTGGCAAATCGCCATGGGTTCTTTTTATGGACCTATTCAATCAGCCTTTGACGTTTGCCAGGGCCCTGGAATCACCAGGTACATTGGTGCACATTTGGCTGCGAAGGTTGGCTGCAAATGTGTTTCTCAGTTGTTCAAAGCCGACCTTTTGACCTTTTGGTTTTCCCATTCTGGTCCATTTTTAGTAGAGGTGCCAAAAGCTTAACCTTTTAGTTCTGGGTCCTTTGGGCAACTGAGGTGTGCCCTACTGAAAAGGCTCAATCTCAGTCCAAGTGGAATCAACTGAGTTTGACCCAGTGGTTTTGCGAGATTCATTCGTAAAGTTGCCAGAAGCTGAGCCATGTATTGCCAGGTCCTGAAATGCAGAGTCACTGAATTTCTCTTCAAAGGTGGCAATTGAATGGTGGCCATTGAGGCCGCAAGTGTTGGAGGTTTCAGAAAGGAAATGGCTCAGGAACCCTGAAAAAGGGCAAGTGAGAGGGATAAGGTAACCAAGGTTGAACCAGCCAACATAAAGACCGAAAGGAAAATGGCTGGTTACCTATAGGGGTAACTGGGATCCACTGGGGCATGGTAAAAGAGGAAGTTTCGTTGAGAAGTGAACAAACCTTGGTGGCTCTCAGCCATCCCCTTAGCATTTAAGCTTTTTAGTGCTTAGTGGTAGTTTCCATTTAACCCACCAAAAGGTAAACTTTAGCGGGGGATCTGAGGGCAGCCCAGAAACGCAATGCTTCATGGAGGCACGGCAGATGAGTTGGAGCAGCGGCTCCATGTTAGACTTAGCAACACAGCAGCCCGACCGGGGATGCGATTGCTGGCGAATGAAGGGCGCACAACTCGGCTGAGAGCTTCACCAATTCCCGGCACAAAGAGCCGGAGGCAATGCAGGGTCGTAGCAGAAAACCAGCCAGCCCATCCCAAATAACTCCCCAACATTTTCCCGCAAAGGCCCCGGAAAAAAAGAAAAAAGACGCATTTGAAGGTTTTTCCGAAGCAACAAGCTTGGAAGTTCGCAGTTCCATACGAAAGGGAATCGTCTTCCAAAACGAGCCTCTTCACTTCTACTTTGGTGCGTTTTGCTTGGATGTTAGGACTGAATATCTTTTTGCCAACTCATGGGCTTTCCGTATTAAACCACTAAAAGTTAGTCACTTTTAGCAGGCCTTCGCAGATTTCGCAACCGAGTCGCTGTTTGTTTCTGTGTGTATATTGCTGGAATCCCGGCTACCGGGCTCCTGAAAATCTTAGATGTTGGGAATACAACCTGCTTTGCTACGCTTACTTGCCTAGGTCCCCCAGCTAGGTGCCCCTTTTTTGGGTGAGGGTTCCCCTACTAAAATAGACTACAGAAAAAAGGGTACCCTTATTCTAACCTCTCTGGAGGATCTAGTTGCAGGAATTCTGGAATCCGTGCTCCTGTCTGATTTTCGTCCCTATGTCAAGCGTAAAACAGAAAGACGGTCCGAGGCCCCAGTCAAGTTGACCCATTTGTTGACTCCGCGTGGATCAACACCCTTTTGCGTCTCGTGGCAAAACGCGCCAGCGGAATGGAGTCGATCCAACCACATGGTTTGAAACACACAAAGCTCAACTCGAAAGGGTCATGCCGGTAACAATGTGACGTGAGACGTAAACCTGCAAAGATTTGTCAACCTAGCCGATTTGTCTGGGGCAGGGGATCCCCTGAAAAGTGACCTCGTGGGAAGACCGTTTTAGTGGCGGATGACAGCTAGGTTGTTTGGCATTTTCCACTCCAGACATGACTTCTAGTGTAGAAATGCCCAATCTTTTTCACGGGGCCTGTTGCATGTTTTTTAAAAGATCCTCCACTGCTACCTCAAAGCTTGCTGGCTCTCAGCAGGGAATGAGGGCTTTTGACATAAATACCATTCCCTCTGGTTTCCGAATCCCTAGGCCCATTCCCAAAACTGTGGGTCATTCCCGAGTGAGCACCAGGAAAAGTGAGGCTCGGCCAAGTGCGCCTCCTGATCAGCTGGCAGTTTCTTGCCTCCAACCTGTGCAACCTGTGTGCGGATTGAAAGAGCCGGAACTGAGGGGCCTACTTGGACGTTCCTTCCAGTGGCTTAAGAATATCATTTTTATTTTCCCCTGTTGGTTTTAAGGGGAATCCTATCACTACTGGAAAGTTTGTTATTTTTGTTCTTTCCAGGGGTCTCAACCAAATGGAAGGTTCGATTTGGCGAGTTAGCAAGGGATTGCCCACCTGGGTTATGAGCGCCACTAATAGGGTCCACTCAGCTGAATGCGGGACTTGTAAGTGGTTTATCAGCGAGTGGTTCCCAACAGCTTACTTGGCCGAACTCCCAAGTACGATAGCTGGATGCAGAATTCCCCATGGATATACCCGCAGCGAAACCTCAAGGGGCGGAATATTGTTTTAGCCAATTCTAAGCTCGGCCTCGTTCAAATCGTGAATCGAGTTTGCACAGTTTCTGAGTGGTGTAGAATCCATTTCGGTGATCATCCTGGTACTGGGTTCATGGGCTTGTAATGTTTGTGGGCTCAGGCGTCCCATTTGATGTGACTGCGTTCTTCTTTGAAGGTACTCTGTATGAAGTTGTTTCATTTCGTCAACCTTCGGAGCCTGCCCCATTTGGAGACAGACCAGAAATACAATTTCATCACCAAAGCCCGGTCTCAGCAAGTGCAAGTCGGTCTGAGAAGAGAACCTTGGGCACCTCTTCCTCGACCAATATCAGGGCCATCCGTATGCTTTGTTGATCTCATAGAAGCTATGGAAGCACATAGAATCTTGGTGCATGCTTGTGATCAACAGGAATGTCTACGGCCAGTTTAAGTGACCACAACTTTCTTTTTGACCTCTTGACCTCTGAACCTTTTGGGAAAGGACCTAAAATTTGCTAGCGAACGTAGTCAACTGCAAGGAGTTGGCTTGACCAACCAAGTTCCAACAGTCATAGAGTCATAGCGGGTTCCGGGACCTTCCCGTTGTTGATCTGGGGCCCAAGGTACGGCAACATGGACTCCTGTTGGTTTGAGGGGCCTTACTTCATCCATGGTTGTGTACCCCTGCAATTTGTTTGGGTTTGCAAAGCTATTTCAGATTCAGGGTAGTATAACTCAGTCCCTGAGGTCATGGCCTTTTCGGTGGTAACTGAAAAAGCTCAGATCAGACTTTCTTTGGCGCATTCACTCGATCGGAAGTGAGCCAAATGTGAAACAGAATCAGAGAATGCGCCATGGTCAAAGGACACCTTCATGTGGGATTACTAGATATGATCCACTTGGCTTTCTCAGGATCCTTAATTTCCATTACAATGACCACCTCACCTCTTTTTGGACGCCTTACCGATGACGCCTTACCGATGACGCCGCAGACGGAGAGAGAGAGAGAGAGAGAGAGAGAGAGAGAGAGAGAGAGAGAGAGAGAGAGAGAGAGAGAGAGAGAGAGAGAGAGAGAGAGAGAGAGGGAGGGAGGGAGGGAGGGAGAGAGAGAGAGAGAGAAGACATGATTTCCCTATGGTCATGGTCATGGTCCCTCAGAGAGCGTATCAATTACACTGATTTCCCGAAGGATCATGACCCTACTGTGGGTGGACGAAATCCGTTCGCACCACCTAAGAACCCGTAGAATGAGTCGATTCCCTTTATAAACCTCAGCAAGCGGTATGGTTGCAACCATGGTTTCGTTTCGTGCGAGACTCGCGGATTTCGCAACCCACAGTACCCTCTAGCGCCTCTAGGGGTTCCCATCTCACAGTATCTCTAGGGGTTCCCACCCGAAACCAATCCAAACCAGCAGAGGGTGAAAAAAAAAGTTGGACTGGCGGCAAGAGAGAAGTACAGTTTTGTACTTGGCCTTGGCCACTTGCAGGGCCTTTGCGCGCAGAGGCTGCCACATGAGCCCTTGGTTGGCAGTTGAGGAGCTGTTGGACTGGCGGCCAACCCCGGGTAGAGACTGCCACATCGCTTCGATCGCACCGCATCGCTTAGCTCGCGTGGGATCGGCAGGCGTGGTGCACTCCAAGGAGTCCTGGGGCGCCGGCACCTCGCCTGCGTTCAGGGGTCCCTATATTTCCCCTGTTTGGTGCATTTGAACATCACCTTTTGTGCCCATTTAAGGTGAGCTTCCCTTCACAAAGCTGATGTTTTTTTGAGGGGAAATTTTGGGGAGCCCTGTTGATGGAGCGGCTGAGTGCCAGGATGGTGGCTGGTAACTCGGGGTTTAGCTCCAACCACTTCTGTGATACTTTTGGGAATCTCGATTCCCCTTGTTTGGGGCCGTTAGTCTTTGGGGTTAGGCCCTTTTTGTTGTATCACAGAAGTGGTCATTTCCCACAGCCCTGCTGAGTGCAGTTCAGAGGGAGCTGTCGCGTTTTCGCCTCCAAAGTGAGGACCCTATGTCCAACTATGACAAACAGCAAGGTTCCGTCAACATGGACCACAATCCATAGAATAGTGTTTTTAGTCTCTTTTTGGGCTTGGACCATTTTAGTGGCCAACAAAAAGCTTGGTTACTTCTTTTGGCCAATCCACTCGGGAAGTGAGGTGCACTTGCTTTTGTGTTTATGTTTACATTGCGTGTGTGTGTGTGTGGGCAGGTTGTCATTGTGTGAGGTGTGTGTGCTCGCGTTTGTTAGAGCTTTTGTGTGTTTGTAGGGTTTGCTTGATGTGTGTGTTTGTGTATGTGCTTGGCTTGTTTTTACGTGCGCGTTGGAGGTTTGTTTTGAGTTTGGGTTTGGTTGCGGTGAACCTCTGAGATGTCAGGACCCATGCTAAACATCAACAAACACGGTTTGGCTTTGCGAGGGCCACATGCGGTGGTGCGCATTGTGGTTTCCCTACGCGCGATAAGCTCGTGCCGAGCCCTGGTTCCTACGGAGACACCGTGATACGTTGGGTTGTCCTTTGGGCACGTCTGGGAGAACTTCAGAAGTGCCGATTTGCTTAATTCTTACTTGTGGTCATTTCACGGGTTATTGAATGAAGACCTTCAAACGCATGTTTCGCAAGGAGGATACCCGGGATGATGAATTTGATTCAAGTTGCAAAGTACTCGCGAGCCATTCTGCAAAGATTCCACACTCAGCTGGGTGTAAAGAGAGCTCACCTACCGATAGACAAGATCCCGCAGTTGGTAGGTGGCATGATTTGTCCGATTTCATCCATGCCCGCTCCGATATGTGGAATTTTGTCCATCCAAACGGAGGATGTTGCGTGGGTCCCAAGCGGCGGATTTCAGCCAAAGATTGGCCAAGATGTAGCAGCAGAATGTAACCTCCCACCCTTTTCACATGGAACCTGACGTTCGGGACCCGGTCCCTTTCAAAGGAAAATGATCCAAACCAGGACCCAGAACGTCAGGTTCCATGTGAAATGGGGAGGGTACATTCTGCTTCACAAATGCAGGGGGGGAGGAGGTCAGCTGGACAGCTTGCCCAGCTTTCGTCTGAGGCTACATTGCCAAGCCTGTGAAGCAGGACGCGGAAGCCGATGGAGTCATGCAGAGAACTTGGTCCCCCAAATTTGGCCTGTACAGTCTTCAAATGGTGTGGGAACACTTCACTACCCCTCTGAGAAAAAAATGGGGGGCCAGTGAGGCCCCAGTGTGACCCAATTGAACCCCATGGCCACTGGGGGGCTGGGGTCTGGAGGAACCCAAGGTCGATGCCAACATGTGAGCCACAATCAAAACCCGGGTAATTGGAGGGTAGTAAGGGACAATCCCAGCCATAAATAGCTGCGGATTTCGGCCTTCTTAATTCTTGAAGCATGGTTCTGGGTCGACCATTTTTGTACCAGGTTTTGATTATGACTCATGTTGGCTTCCTTAGTCGGGAACGTGGCTCAACTTGTTGGCGTCAGGCCTAGGACTCCCTTCCTGGACTGGCTTTGGGGAAGCCATTTTAGTGGTAATGAAGTGTAGTTACTCTTGGTCCCCCAGTAGTGCCCTTTTACCCTGTTTTGGGGGAGGGGAGGGCTCCCCTACGAAAACAAACTACAGAAAACAGTTGGTACCCTTATTCTAACCTCTCCACTGGAGGACCTAGTACTGTTTTTGACCACTCCGGAAGTGAGAGCAGTATTGTCAGTTAGCATGGAATCCACTTCGACCTCTTTCACGCCAGGACGACTTGAAGAGGGGCGGCTCGAAATGGCCACAGGCCCCAGCACACAAGATTTAGAGGCTTCCGTGGGTCTCTCTTCGGCCAATGGGGGAGTCTTCTCACTTCTTGAGTTGATGGGGAAGACTGTTTTAGTGGGAACAAAAAGCTTGTTTTTTTTGCCAATCCACTCGATCGAAAGTGAGTGATGGACCCCTTGCGTGATTTTCCTTTGGATTGCTGTTTGAGATGGGAGCATAGGGAACTCTTCGCTTCAGGCTGCTTAAGTGCTTGACTAAGCTGCCCAACATATGTTTTTCTCGGTGGGGGGCTAGACACGGAATGGGGTGGAATGGGGTCAGACAATATTATTCTATCCCGGATGTGGGCCAAGTTGTGGTAGGCAATCCGCACACGCGTTAGTAAACTCAGGGCAGCTTCTTTTGGGAACGCTTTTAGGGGGTTCTTGATGTCTCCATGGTCTCGGACATGGCTGTCAGATGCCGGGTTTGACCATGATTGTGCAACCTACTTGTCTAGAACACATGTTTTTTTTTAGAGATTCCATGAGGGCCCCTTCATTTCGTGGCAAAACAGTGTCGTCAAAGGAGAAGCCATTCGGCATCCTTCGGCGCTGATGTTCAGTTGTTGTTTTTTGTTTTATTTTTGTTTTTTGTCACGCACGCCTGCAAAAGGGATGTTGCGGGTCATTTGGTTTCCCCCTGACTTGCATGAAACCCCAAGAACAACGCCATTCAGATCAGATTCCTCTAGCAACCACGTGGTTTTGGCATGCTAATCTGCTGAAACAAGCTGGAGGGGAGCAGTTGGGGACCGGAGGGCCGGGCCAAATCCCTAGAGCCCAAGCTGAGGTTCAACGTCAAGACCTGGGGTAGCTGGAGGATGGCCTTTGTGCTGGCACGGCTCCAGCAACAGGCCGATGAGCCGGCGCTGGCGTTGGCGAATGCGCCCGAGCAATTCACTTAAGCTTGCTTATCGGGCGAATCGACCGGATCTGAGCTTTTGGTTTGCTTCTGTGGCAACCAGCTTTTCGTAGAGGTGCCAAAAGGTGGTCATCTTATTTATTTCTGGGTCCCCAAGGGGCAAGCGGGTTAGTCATGTTGAGTTATCCAAGGGCTGTTTGACCGAAGCTTGGCCCTCAGTTTCCAACTCAACATCCATGGACAAGCTCTTGATGAGCTTCAATGATACTGAGGTTGCGGAAATCGTGCGTTTTTCGGCAACGGGCGCAAATTTGGATCCGGGCAGTTGTTGCTATTGCGGCGGCTTCTCTCTTCTCATATAGTCTGCTGCGTTGCAACATGTGGAAACATACCAGCAAAACGGGCGCAAACACCCTCAAAACGAGCGCAAATGCCCGCAAGTCGGAAACATGTAACAATTGGTACTTTGCAAGAAGCCCGATCATGAAACGAGCGTTTTTGGGGGAACGAGCGCTTGTTGGATCACTGGGCGAATATTATTGGCCCGAGCATTTTTTTTGTGACACACATTTATGTAACAATGGAGGGTCCAGGGAAACAAATACTCAGGACATAGGAGTTGTCTTCTCCATACCTGGACCTTCCACGGTAATTCTGCCTTTTCAACGAAAAATGCTTTTTCGGGCAAGCAGCACATTTGGTTGCCTCGGAGCACTTTTTGCATTTTACTGATATTTGAGCCAAACCTGGGTGTGAAAGGGCAACTTTGTCCGACCAAAAGGCGACTTCTGCCGACCAAAAGGCGACCGCAGGGCACGGTTAGCACAGAACAGTGTTTTTTTTAGACGAAACGACGGACATTTTGGCCCAGGTATGTACCCCAAATGTGTACCAAGCAGACAAGCACCGCTTTCTCAGGGACTGCTCAAAATGCCAGGTCTATCAGAAGCGCTTCGACGATGAACACCCCGAGGGTTTGCCAGGCGCGAGCGGGTTGCTTAGGCTTTCTGGGTTCCTGCTGAATGGCCAGCGAGGGAAGAACCAGGAATCCTTTTCCCAAAGGGAAACTACAAGGGGACGAACTATGTATTATGTCAAGACCCCGTTGTCCAATGCGAATCGACCTGTTTAACCTGAAGCGGGCACCTAAAATAATACAAGTCCAATTGCTTTTTAACGCCTTGCAGCTCCAACTGTGAGCGCAAGTCTCACAGAGACGACTGGGCGTGTGTGTTTTGTCAAAGGTACCCTTGTCGCCTTGGTTGAAAGGAAAACCGGAGAAACATGGGAACCGGTTGTTTCCTGGTGATTGAAAGGGAAACCTGAAAGACAAAAAAAACACAGAGTTGTTTCCTGGAGCCCCTTCTTTGACGCATTCCCAAATTTAAATTTGACTTCCAGGAGTTTGGGCCTAGTCATGGAAGCAACGAGGGGTTGCACGTTGGGTTTTGGGGATGTATGTTGGCCCACAGCAATTCATCTCTGGATGGTGTTTAACCGCCACTCATGAGCTGTGTCAACATGCTTGAACGTCATGGTCCCCTCTTTCGCGGTTGCAACCATCGATGTTTCGACCGGTGGAATCGCGCATGTTTCAACCGGGTGGGTTTGGTGCCAGTCGCAACTTGCTTTGAATTGCTCTATGGTGACGGTTGATGGTCCTGTGACGACAAGCTTCTGATACCAGTTCGTTTGATATTCCGCAAGCTCTACGCGAGCTGTGAAACGGATAAACTGGCTGCGAGTATATCTCATGGAAGCTGACAGCAGGGTTTTGGAAGACTACTATCCTTTTGGGGGAGCCCGTTGTCCGCTTCCATGAGTTTTGGCAATGTGTTTTTGTTTGCGCGCTCGGGAGCCCCTCAGCACCTACCTTCCCAAAAATAAATGGAGGACAGTGGCCTTCGCAAAGTTTCTACACTCTCATGCCAACCTGTTTTTGCTTTGCCGTCATACATCTGCCTTTTTTCTCTTGGATCCAACTCTTAATTCAGGTCTGGAATTACTCAGTTGTTCAAAGCCGACCTTTTGACCTTTTGTTTTTCCCATTCTGGTCCATTTTTAGTAGAGGTGCCAAAAGGTGATCACCTTTTAGTTCTGGGTCCCTAAGGGGCAACTGAGATTATGGTAAACTTTGCAAAGGCATGATGACAACCAGTGGCCTCCCACGCTTCCAATTGAGTATACCCTTTGTTCCACTTGATGCTTAGCAGAGCCAGCAACCACCCTTGGCAGTTCCCAGCACCCTTAGACGTAGTCGTCTCCTCACGCGTACCGAGTGGAGTGGCCAAAGGGGATAATGCATTGTTTTGTTTGCCACTAATGGTCCAAGCCCAAAAAATAGAAACCTCATGAACTCACAGAGTGAGTAAGGGCACCAAAGGTGCCATGGCGGCCTTTCCGGGTCTCTGGTTGTTGTATTGATGCTTCTCAGTGGTTCCCAGCCATCCAGTTCCTTAGCTGCTTAGCCTTTTAGTGTCTAGTGGTAGTGTCCACTTAACTTGCTAAAAGTTAACTTTTAACGGGGGATCTGAGGGCAGCCCAGGTTTGCTTGGCTTTTGCTTTTTTGGTTTCTCCTGTGTGGGTGTTCTTTAGAGTTTTGTTTGTCGTTTCTCTCGAGCTAATTCTCTTCACGATTCCGCCGCCTGACCGGGGCAGATGCGGAGCAACTGGCGACTCCGGAGGCGGGATCTCGATGGAATCGGTGGGCCATCGAACCCAGGGGCTTTCCTTTTGGGGAATCAATCCCTGGGTTTAAGTGCAACTAGCCTGAATGTTGACCCCATATCAATCAACCCCAGTGAACCCCATAAACTGGGGCTGATTCATATGGGGTCAACATGAATCAGAATCAAGACCTGCGTAGATGAAGCCATCCCAATGGTTTTGGAAGAGTACTTGGAATTTGTCGCCTCTAGATGTGGCACATGTTGAGCACTACAGTTTTTTAGGGGCTACCGGTGGGGCCAACCTGCTTGTTTGTGTTACTTATGGTCCTGGTTCCCCTTTTAATGTTCACTTCCTGTGTTCCTGGACTTTTGGTCAGTTTTTGGCCTTTTTTTGGGGCCCATCCACTCAGGAAGCGAGGAAAGGAGGGGGTTGGTAGTTTGAGCAAGTTTCGTTCAGTGTTTGGTACCTTCCCCATGGGTGTCAAATATGCAGCCCTTCAAACCAGCTCACTTGCAGCGTGCCAGTGGGGAAGGCTCAGGTGCAACCTTGGACCCTGCCGGGAAAATCCCGTTGCGTGGGTTTTTGCTGGCAGGCTGCGGGGTTTTTATGAAAAACACAAAAATGCCTAGGCCCCTCAGTAGTGCCCTTTTGCCCTTTTCGGGGGGGGCTAAATAGACTACAGAAAAAAAGGGGACCCTTATTCTAACCTCTCTACTGGAGGACCTAGATGCAAGGACTCTGTCGTTTGGGGGTGCCTGCCAAGGCAAAGTCCAAGAAGAAAGGCGAGAAGACCGAGGATCAGCCGTGAGCTCGGCGGGGAATGCGAATTCCCGTAGAATCATTCAGTCGAGTGCTTTTCTCACCGGAGTCACTGGGCAATTGCGTAATGTTGACCCCAGACCTAAGAGCCCGTCCCATTGTCCTGGGAGTGTCCCAGGAAAGCTATGCGGATTCCACTAAAGGATTAGTCAACCAGGGCTTCTACTTGGAGCCTGCATTCCCATCAAACATGAAAGCTCCTGAACCGATCCCAGCGCGCATCTTCCCCGCCATGCATTGTCTCATTGTTCGGTTATTTGGGCATTTATTCCTCTTCGTTTGCAGTGGGCATCTGGATGTACTCCTTCAAGACCAGGTGATGGCAGTCGGCCGTACCTCCGGTCCCTGCCATGCTTGCATGTTGGATTTGCCAAGTTACTAATGTTACCCACCAGCTTTGTATCCCACCGAAAACAGGAATAATTCCATTTAGGTGGGGGACTTACAAGCGGGTTACCATCGAGTGGTTGCCAACAACCTACCTATTTGGCAGCGAAGATCATAGCACCCACTATCAGGAACCAAGTGTGTCCCTTGAGATACTGAGATTGTGCCCCGGCTGCGAATTCTGATCGAGGAACGGGTTTCCCTTTTTACCACTGGGCAATTGGCTAGTAATAAGCCCCTTCAACGTTTGCTTGATTCTTGGGGGCGGAATCCAAATGCGGAGCTGGCATGGATCATCAACCAGCGCATCGCCGCAGGATTCGCCCGAGCCAAAGCAGCAATGATAGCCACTTTGTGAAATGCTTAAGAATGTGTTCAACGTGTTTCCGCGCCCCACACAGTTTCCGCGCCCAGCACAAGTGTCCCAACGTGTGGCGGGGGGGGGGGGATTCTGAGTTCTTTTCAGAAACCCATCGCTTTCTTCCCTTCGCTAGGTCGGGCAAGAAGCGCCGGGGGCGGCCCCGCGCAGATGAGGCGCGATTGGAAGTCCGGCTTTCAGCTCGCAACTGACGAGTTTTTCAAAATTAGGGACCATTCAGGTGGTATCAGGTGGTCCAAAAAGGGTTCCCCTATTTTGAGACAGAACCAAGGGCAACTGTGCAAAAATGGGAGGTGGCCGAAAATCTCCTGGTAAAGAGTGTCCAACCATTGGCTATGCAAAAAGGCTGGGCGTGCTTTCGGCACGAACTCTTCTGCCTGTTGGGCAAGGCGGGACATCAGCAAGTTGACCTCGTTTTGTTTAAGAACATGATTTATGTTCCCTTGCTGGTTTTAAAGGGAATCTATCACTACTGGACATATTTTATTAACCAGGCTCCCGCCTGCTGCCGCCGACCCTCGGCGCATTAAGGGAAAAGTCACAAGGACCGGTCCTGAAACACGTCCGCAAACCCAGGGACCACTTATAAGATTTTCTACGACCACAAACAAGGATTAACGGAAAAGTCAGAAATATGGCAGCTAGTCCGTTAATTGCCGCTTGGGCCGGCTTGCGCCCAAGTCACTTCGAGTTGGCCCGGGAGCAGTCGCCTGTCCCGGGTCGCCCTGAAACTGGCCCTCCCGAAACTGCCCCGGCGACAGTGGCCCTAGTGGCCCTGGACCGGTCGCCGGCAGTAGATCCAGGGATCCTCTACTACCACAAGGATTAGCGGAAAAGTCAGACAGGCGGCAGCTCGTCCGTCAATGACCGCACGGGCCGGCTCGCGCCCAAGTCACGTTGAGCTGGCCTAGAAACAAGGCCGTCGGTGCCCCTCAACCGGTCGCAGGGAGGGACTGGGACTTGGGACCCTGTCCGGTCCTGAAACACGGGTGCCAGTCCGGAAACAGCGACGCTGAAAAAACAGGTGTCTGGAGCTGTTTGAGGTGGCACCGGGTTTCTGCAGCGGTTTGAAGTGGGATCCGATACCAGCGGCTGGGACCGGACCAGTCCCAGGATCAGTCCCAGGACCGGTCCCAGGACCGGTCCCAGGACTGGTCAGGACCGGTCCCAGGACTGGTCCCAGACCGGTCCTGGGACTGGTTCTGGGACCGGTCCCAGGACCGGTTTTGGCTGAGTAATCCGAAGCGGTCCCAGGACCAGTCCCAGGACCGGTCCCAAGACTGGTCCCAGGGGTCCTGGGACCGGTCCCGGGACCGGTCCTGAGAATCCACTTTTTGTACTTTCGGGCGTGCTCCCCAGGGACCATCATTGATTCCAATCACTTCCAGTTGCATCCCACGCCGGTCCCCTCTGCAGGAGGCTGGGACGGGAGGCAGAGGGTCGGCGGATTTTTTTCAGGGAGCTTAAGCAAATGGAAGTTGAAGTACGCTTTGGTTTGAAGCTTTGAACCCTGCCTACAGCCTTGGTCCTACCGTGGCCATGGGGATCGGAAAGAGCCTCGCGATGCGGAACGCGACCAAAGCGCCGTGGATCGAGCTCCGCGCGCTGGCGAAGCTTTCGCAGGGCAAAGCTAGAGGCTCAGGTGGCTGGCCAGAAGTGGAGTTGCCGGAGCAGTTGGCAACCAACATGGCAAGGCCGTCTCTTTTTGCTGGCACGGCTGCGGGAGGGGCGCGATCGCGTTTTTTTTCTCTTCTTTTTTGCGCCGAGGAGTGCGGGCCACTGCGATTCCCCTGGGCCGTTGCTTGATTTGTTCGGGCATTCGGAGACCTTCCTTGGGAAAAGGGGTTTGTCCTTCGGCATTTTCTTGAGCAACACATTTCAGGGCACGGGTTCTCTTCCCCGGAATTAGCTCCCTTTTTGCTTTTTTGCTTGGGGTTCCCTTTGTTTTCCACTCACCAGGCAAAAACAATATCTTTTTGCTGGGGTCCGACTTTTCCAGCGAAGTTTTGAGGCAAGGGAGCCTGGCAACGGACGCAGGGTTCGCACCTGATCGAACCATCCAGCTTTACTGCTCGTTCATTGTGACCAAACTGTAGGTTTTTGATAGGTATTGACCTTCAGGGGGGTCTTGTTGCCGCCTTTGGTGAGATAATTGTTGAACCCCTCAAAAACGAATCCTTCACTACGAGGGTCGATCAATTACCCACCAAAGGCGGCAAAACGCAAGACCTTTTTGATTGCTCCTGCGGTGGGATTGAAATGGTCTTGTCACATACCCATTTAGGTGATCCGGGCCTCAATCCTTCGGGCAAAACGGATCACCAAAGGCGGCCTCCATAAAAAAGTGATCAGGTCCCCCACAGAAAGGTTCCACAGTTGTCAGAAGGCTGTGGTGGTGAAAGCCGTTTGGGATCCCAGTTTGGTGAATTCACCATGAAAGGGAACCTATTTTAGCAGTTGGATTGAATTGGATGTTCACTGGGGGTTGGGCTCCATGGCCAGAACCCCCAAGGGCCCCTTTGCCTGAATTCCGACCCTCGGTGGCTGAGACCTAAGCGCAACCGCCAGGTGAAATAATGGTTTTGCAACCTAGCAGAAGCTTCTTGACTGCTATCGGGTTGGATCTTTAGACTTCAACTTTTTGGGTGAAATCAAGTTGTGTTTTCTACTAAACCTCCCAAAAGTTAAATTTTTTGAAGGGGGGTCAACAGCAACCAAGGCTTCATAGTTGCACATACGCACTCTTGACCATCATGTCCATTGAGTTTAGTCCCCATAGGTTTGCCTTCATTGGTTCGCCGAGCTGCAACTGAGTCCTGCACACAATTGCCTGGTGGAACCTTCCAGTGGTTGCCAAGAGACCCGCCCGAGGCACAATCAAACCCCCGGTGAAGGTTCAGGGACAGTCCCAGCAAGAAATCGGTGCGCCTTGCTCTTTTTCTGTGCATGGTTTGCGGTGAGCCCAACTCAACCTAACCGCTACAGGGGCCTGAAACAAAATGCAGCGAGCGGCAGGCCTCTAAAGACAAGGCGGTCCGGGGAGTTCCGCGTCGGACTTGCAGGGCGACGCGAGAACGCCAGAGGCTGCTGTGAAGATGTCCCTGTCATCTTCACTGTTGTTGTGATATTTTTTAGGTTGTGGGTGTGGTTGGTTTTGTTATTGGCAAAACACACTGTGTCTTGTGCGGCCATGCCAAGGGTTGCCGCATTTGTTTGTTTGGTTGGTTCTGCGTTTTGTTTTTTGTTTTTTGTTTTTTCTAGTAGGGGGCTGCAAGAGACAGCGCTCTGTTGCTGCCATACCAAGGGTTGGAAAATATATCTTAACCAGACAACCACAGAGCATCTCCCCCTTGCTTGCCATATGCATCCACCGTGGCCTTCCGATTTGTTCTTGGGAGACCTGGTCTACCTGAGGGTCTTGGGGGCAACCTGTGCTGCACGGAACATGCGGAAGGATGGGAGGTCATCGCACTTCAGTCGGGCCGGGCTTGGGAGCTGCGTGTACATCCGAGTTTACGGCTCCCAGGTGTGCGCTGTATGCCAATTCACCCTGCCTGGAGTTGCCAAGCCAGCTTGTTTTTTTTGTTGAATCCCAATTACCCTCCCAATGCACAACCCCGGACCCTCCAAATGGAGAACCCCGACCAATTCCCGGCCCCTTGAGAACAACCAATTTTGAGGGCCCAAAAGCCACGAGATCCTGAGGGAGATCGGATTTTCCCTTCGAGCTAAGGGGTCCAAATCTTTTACACAGGGGACCGTGCAACGAGGATTTCTCAGGGCCGAAGGCTTGAAGAAGGCTTGGACCTTCCAATTTTCAGCCTGTGGCAATGCGTGTCCCCTCCATTTGTCTAGGCGTTTGGTCGGGAAGCCAAAAGGAAGTCTACATGTTCTGCAGAGGTCCATGATTGATGTCTAGCTTACTGTGCAGGGCCATTAGCATGTCTTTCTATCCGGACCCAATTAGCTGAGAGCGCCGTCGTGCGAGCAGAGGTTCTTTGCCTGTAGATCCATTTCTTACTCAAAATGTGGCCACACCTTCATTTAGTACTTAAAAAATGATTTCATACTTATCTTGTTTGGAGGTTTTTGACACCTCGCACCCGCGCGTGTGCCCTATATTTTTTCCAGTGCATATATGGATAATAGATGAGTTGACGTGCGTGCATGGTTTGATGTTTCGTTTACTTCCAACGCGTTTCGACTCGGGACCAAATCGTTTTTGGGAAACCATGGGGGATCATCCCTTCTTACCCGGCGGAAAAGCGGCTAACCCTGTTTTCCCCTATAACCATGTTCAATCCGTGGTCAACCTTAAGAATTGGGAATATATATTATGGGGGCAAACGGTTTTGAACTCTGCATTTGCAACAGTGACTCCAAAAACCCTATACAGCGTTCAGCTCTGTTTAGTACCGCAACACATCGAATCGCAAGCCCGCTCACGTGGTCTTGCTTTGTGTCCTGGCAAGTCAGATGCACAAGAAGATTCGCGCACACTATAAGCAAGTCCTTCGGAGTGTACATAGAGAGCGCGGCTCAAACCTGCAAAAAGTCAGGATGGCTCAAGTTTGGATGGTGGCTCGTGCCGCCAGGCCTTATTTTTGGTGATCTCAAACGCTTCCTGCATCTTGGGCTTCAAGCCCACCAAGTAGCGTTGCAGCACGGTGAGCGCAGCAGTCTTAGCATGGCATTTCTTGATGATGTGGCCGGTCTTTCGCAGGGAGTCCTCGTCCATGAAATTGACACTGCGGGCCGGGTTGCGGCGGTTCTGAACAAGATCGTCAAACAAGTGGCAGAGGAGGTGGTTCTTTGGCCGTGGGTTGAAGACCTGAGAGGTCAGTTTCCCGCGGTAGCTGGCATGAAGCTGGAGGTAGAGCTTCAGGAAGGTGTAGCCAAACTCATGGGCCTGCCTCGCCTGAGCATCGGTGAGGGTGTGTTGGCCAGCGGCCCTGGCTTTGAAGAGCACAGTCATTGCGGCGTTCAAGCACCACACGCATGCCTTCAAGGGGCGGGGGGCTACCTCGTCGGTGCACTCACCAAGGAAGTCTGCCAGCCACTGAATCAGCGAGCCTGTCTGGGCGGCTTTGGAGTGGCACTCCACATATTGCTTCTTGCTGCGCATGCCAACCCAGTCCTTGTGCATCAAGAAGTGCTTTGGGAAGCCTTTGCTGTGCGGCGAAGAAAGGAA